ATAATCCAAAAAATCAGCCGGGCGTGTAGCGCATGCCTGTAATTTCGGCTACTTGGAAGGCTGAGGTGGAAGGATCGCCGGAGTCCAGCAGGTCGAGGTTGCGGTGGCCGGGAGCGGCCACTGCACTCCAGTCTGGGTGACAGAGTGAGACTCCAACTCAAAAAAAAAAAGAAAACCAGAAAGTGTCCTCAGGAGCAACACAGATGGCTAAAATACTACAAATGTGGTGATAAGGCTTTATGTACAAATAACACGAAATTACAGTCTCTTTGAAAATGACATTATCGATAAGGCTGGGTCCCTTGAAAATGACAGATAAGGCTCGGGTGCCTTTCAACCTAGTCCCTACCACTTCTTTATCCCTTGGCAGTGACCACTGTTACAATTTGCCCAGCAACATATTTTACATTTCCGAGACACAAGCTGAAGGGCCGGATGATCCCGATTTCACAAAGGGAATCATCCTGTCTACACACAGCTCGCCTAAGGTCACAAGACAATGTGGCCAGTTTGAATTCTCAGTTCTTGCTTCAGACCAGGAGACATTTTACTGAATGAAGAGTGAAAATCAGCTTGCAAGTCATCCTGTTAAACACAAATTTGTTTTTGCCCAAAAGGATCGTGGTTGGGGGAGATGTTATCTTGTCATTTCTGATCAAGCAGAGGGGGAAGGACCTTACCTCAATTAAATGTCCCATTCGCGATAGGATTTTTAAGACTCTTTTTGACCATATATTTCAGCTCAAAATAAAAAGACCTTACAACCTCATTTAGCCAACAACGGCACAGGAAATGGGAGGTGGCCTTCAGATCGTGGAAACCTCATTGATCAGTAGTTTCCCCAAATCATACATTTTTGCACAACTGCTTCTACCTAGGCGTAAGAGAAAAAGGAAGCACCAGATACCCAGAACTAGAAAAGGGCAGAAAAAGCACTTCGCATTTTTTAAGGAAAAAAAAAAAAAGAGTGAGATTCAAAAGAGTATAATATTAGGCAAGCACTTGGGAAAACATTTATTTCACAACACACAACCCATTAACAAATTCCCATCCCTGAAGGGAAGAAGAGGCACCGGCCGCCGGTGCGTCATTTGCTCGAACTTACCCACGCTCAGGGCCAGCAGCGCCAGCAGCGGCAGCAGCCGCCGCGGCCCGGGAAAACTCCGCGGCGCCAGCTCCATGACGAATACCGAGCCGCAGCATCAGCAATGGGCTGAACCGGCTGGCCCACCACGTGACGACGAAGGGCGGAGTCTGGGCTGAGATCGGGGGCGGGGCCTGGGCGGCCCGGGGACGGCCCGGGGCTTGCCTGGGCGGGGCCTGGGCGGGCCTGACTGCTCGAAGCGCCCAGCACGCCCTCTCCCGGGCAGGCCAATCGGGTTAGGGGCAACCGCGCTCGGGCAGTTGCCTGCCTGGCTGTGGCCTCTGCGGTGTCCGGGTGGGCGTTTCGGGCAGAAGGCGTTGAATGCGTTTATTTGATATAGGTTGTGCAACCGGACCGAGAGATCACAGTGCAGTAAACCATCGTCTCTCCTGTCCCGCCTGTCTCTTTCTTCCTCTACGAAAGGCCTGACGAAGTCGGGCTCGGTGGCTCATCTTGTAATCCCAGAGCTTTGGAAGGCCGAGGTGAGTGGATGACTTGAGCCCTCGGGTTCGAGACCCGCCTGGGCAACTTGGCGAGACCGCGTCTCTACAATAAGTCAAAACTTAGCCGGGCGTGGTAGCGCGCGCCTGTAGTTCTGGCGACTTGGAAGGCTGAGGCGCAAGGATCGCCGGAGCCCGGCAGGTCGAGGCTGCGGTGGCTGGGAGTGGCCACTGCACTCCAGTCTGGATGACAGAGTGAGACTCCAACTCAAAAAAGAAAAAAAAAAGCTCGACGTTTCAAACACGGATGCATCTGCACTGAATTAGATTAAGCCCAAACCACCTGGTCGTTGGCAACTGTGCGATTCCATTTTTAGAGATGCGTTTTTAAAAGGATTTTTCTTGTAAAATTATGTTACATTGTGAACATTTTGGAAACGAGAAAAAAAAAAATTAGATCATAATAGCCATGTTGGAATTTGATTTTTTCCCTATAAGTCTTTTAACTTTGTTTTTTAAAAAAGTAATAAACATTTTAATTGTTTTTTTCTCTTGATAATTTATCATCAGCATTATTCTGTGCTGTTACATTATCTTCACAGCAGTCATTTAAAAATTTTTATTTTAAAGATGTAGGTTACATATACAGGTACCCTTCGTTATGAAGGTACCCTTGTTGATGAGGTGTGCCCCCCCCCCGCCCTGAGCAGTTTCCCCCTACTGCCAACCCCTTTCTTATAGTATTATGATAATTGTTCAAGGTCTGCTTGTGACTGAGAACATGTGGTACTCAGTTCTTTGATTCTGTGATAAATCACTCAGTATTATAGACTCCAAGTCCATCCAAGTTGCACAGCAGTCATTTTAAAGAGAGATCTGGGGGTTTGGGAAGGGAAGGGAAAAAAAGTAGGTGTGTGTGTGTGTGTGTGTGTGTGTGTGTGTATAGGTGTGTCTGAAGGTGTCTCATTTTTATTTTAGGGTGTACTAAAGAACACCTTACACAGTTAGGACATAAGATACAACAAGGGCTGTAGGGGCTGTAGGAGGGTCAGATTACTTCTAGATACTCTGTTTGGAAAGAACATAAAGACAAAAAGACAAACAAGAACAAAACAAAATCCATGGCCATGGCCTCACTTTTCCTTTTCCCTTTCCCCATTGCTCCTCCCCGTCATAAATAGAGGTGTTTTTACTCTGTAGGCTCTTGACCTGGAGGAGCTGGACCCTGCCCTGGTGGTGAGGGTCTGTGGCCCTGAGAGCAGGACAGGAGAAAAATATGCCACTAGGGCCAGGTGCAGTGGCTCATGCCTATAATCCCAGCACTTAGGAGGCCGGGGTGAGAGGATTGCCTGAGTTTGAGACCAGCCTGGACAACTTGGTGAGGCCTCATCTCTATAATAAACAACAACAAAAAATTGTCCAGGTGTGGTGGCACATGCCTATAGCTCTAGGTACTTGGAAGACTGAGGCGGAAGGATCACCTGAGCCCAGCAGGCAGCAGGTCGAAGCTTTGGTGGCCGTGAGTGCGCCACTGCACTCCAGCCTGGGTGACAGAATGAGACTCCAACTAAAAAAAAAAAAAA